GGGGGGCAGGGGCGGGGGCTGGGGGGCCGGAAGGGTGGGGAGACCCAAGACCAGCCACCAGGGCTCACAGGGTGGCACCCGCTGCCTTAGCTGATGGCACTGAGCGCGTGGGCGAGGGCGTGCATCTCGTCCTGGATGCCCTCCAGGGAGCTCCGGATGGCCCGGGGACTGTCCAGCACGTCGATGGCCTGCGTGTACGGGTCAAACTTCACGGAGAAGGGACGCTGGATGCGGGCGGCGTAGCTCCTGGGGACGGGCCGGCATGCACCCTCAGTCTCCCGGTGGGGACTCAGGGCCTTGGAGCGTCAGGAGGAGCCGGGCCGGCTGGGGCGCGGGGGGCGGCGCAAAACACCCCGTCCCTCCCTGCGGCTCCTCACCCCGGCCCAGCCAGACCTCCTCCTCCAGAGAGCCTTCCCAGACTGTGCCCCGGACAGTCCCGTGGCGTCTCTGTCCTTAAGCTTGTGTGTGGGGTCTGCTCTCCCTCCCCCACCGGGCACACAGCTCCGGGCCTCGGTTTCTCCCGGGACCTCAGGAGCCTGGCACTTCCCAGGATTAAGGAGTGGGTCCGGCAGGCTTTGCCCAGCTCCCAGGCAACCCCAGCCCCAGGCCACGGGGACTCCTTGCTCCCTCCAGGCCCCCCAGCCCTGGTGTCCACCCTCCTCACGGCCCCAGCGGCTCAGAGGGCGGAGCTTGGGGGCATCGCACCTCCTGCTCACAAAATCAGACTCCGCCTCCCAGGAGCCTGGCCTGACCCGGCCTCGATGGGGCCACCAGCCTCAGGTCTCCCACTCCCCAGACTTTTGGGGGTGTTGCTGTGGGAGGAGTGTTGTAACGGAGGTGGTCAGTTTTCTCCTCTGTGAAAGCACGGCCCACCTGAGCTTGTCCTTGGCGTCGCTGAAACTCTCAGACACGAAGTAGACGGACTGGTAGGTCTGGTCCTGGTAGGGCTGCAGGGCGGCCGCGTCGGGGTCGAAGGCCCGGATCTCAGGCTCCTCGGAGAGGGCGTGCTGTGGGGAGGCCAGTCACAGGGAACGGTCTCTGGGGCGGACGCCTTCCTCCCCGGGGTCCCCCCGGAGGCTGGGCCGAGGCTGCCGGCCCAGGGGAGGGTCTCACCAGGAGCTCCCCGTAGGAGGACAGCAGCCCAGCGCCGTACGCCTTCACCTCTCCGTTCTGCTTGCACAGCCCGAACTCCACCGTGAACCAGTACAGCTGTGGGGCAGTGTGGTCAGCGAGACAGCCCCTCCGGCCCGCCCGGGACCCCCACCCCCCAGGCCGGTCAGGGCGGCCCCGGGGGAG